GACACCGTCGTGTGCCAGTCCTTCAGTATCCTACCGTGCCACTGGGGTGTCCTGGGTGCCACCTGGGTGGCATCAGGGGGTCCTGGGTGTCCTGGATGCCGGGGGGGGTCCCTTCTTTGCCAGCGGGGTCACCGGGGTGCCACTGGGGTTCCTTGTGTGGCATTGGGGTGTCTTGGGTGCCAGGGTGGCCCTGGGGGTGGCCCTGGGGGTGGCACAGGTGTCTCGGTGGCCCTGGGGGTGGCCCTGGGCGTGTCACAGGTGCCAGGACCAGCCTTGACTCCAAGCTCAGATCTGGATGGGCTCTTCAACCTCATGTGAGCACTGGGGGGTTCCAGAACGTTCTGGGGGTGCTGGGGGGGTTGGAGGGTGCTGGGGGGGTGGCACCTGAGCCCTGTCCCCTGTCCATTGGCTGCCACCCTGACCCGGGGGTGCCACCAGTCTCTGTCCCCTGTCCCTGTGGCTGCCACCCTGTCCTGTCCCCACGGGTGCCACCCTGACTCTGTGGGTGCCACCCCATCCCTGTCTCTGTCCCCGTGGGTGCCACCCTGTCCTGTCCCCATCCCAGCCAGCAGAAGGTGGAGCTGCCGGTGACCGACAACGTCCAGACCATCCCCCCGCCCTTCGTGGTCAGAACCATCCTGGTGTTCGGGCGCCCGCACTGCCAGCCCCACTTCTGCGGGGGCGAGCACGTCAAGGTCTGGGACACCCCAAAATCCCCCCTGTGACACCCCAAAATCTGCCCATGCCACCCCAAAATCCCCCACTTCTGCGGGGGCGAGCACGTCAAGGTCTGGGACATCCCAAATCCCCCTGTGCCACCCCCAAAATCCTCACGTTTCCACCCAAAATTCCCCCATTTCCACTCTCAAAATCCCCCCATACCACCCCCAAAATCCCCACGTTTCCACCCCAGATGTCCCCATGCCAGCCCCAAAATCCCCCTGTGCCAGCCGCAAAATTCACCATTTCCACCCCAAATCTCCCCCCAAAGCCCCCAAGTTCTCCCTTTTCCCCCCAGAAGCTGCTGCAGTGCCCCTATTTCTTCTTCGACGTTGTTTACATCCACAACGGGATGGATGAAAAGGAAGACGAGAGCAGCTGGAAGGTAAAAGGGGACAAATTCCTCCAAATTTCCCCCAAATCCTCCCTTTCCCCCTCCCCAAATACCCCCATTTTTTCCCTCATTTGTCCCTGTTTTTCTGTTTTTATTTTCTTTATCCCACAAATTTTCCCCCTCAAATTCCTCCATTTTTTTGTGGGAATGGGGGGGGTTTGGAGGAGAAATGGGAGGGATTTTGGGGGAAAATTGGGGAAAAAGGGGGGGATTTTGGGAGGGGGGGAGATTGGGGTTACAAAAGGGGGAAATGGGGTGGAAATGGAGGAATTTAGGGGAAATGGGATGGGAATGGGGGGATTTAGAGGAAAATGGGGTGGGAATGGGGGGATTTAGCAGGCAATGGGAGGATTGGGGGAAAATGGGGTGGGAATGGGGGGATTAGGGGAAAATGGGGTGGGAATGGGATGGGTTTGTGGGGGATTTAGAAGGCCAAAGGACACTGGGGAATCACCAACAATGGGGTGACAAAACCACGGAATTCTGAGGGGAATTTTTGGACAAATCTAGAGGACAAAAAGAGGAAATTTCTCAGGATTTGAGATCACTGACAAGCCAAATTTAACCCCTTTATGTCCCCGTGTGTCCCCTCCCCAGGACATGTTCGGGTTTTTCGGCAGCCTGGACACCAAAGGCACCAACTACAAGTACGAGGTGGCCCTGGCGGGGCCGGCGCTGGAGCTGCACAACTGCATGGCCAAGCTGCTGGCGCATCCCCTGCAGCGGCCGTGCCAGAGCCACGCGCACTACGGGCTGCTGGACGGGGGGGACAGCCCCGAGGGGGAGGCCGCCAGCTGAGAGAGGGGACAGGCCGCCCCTCAGGGGACAGGCCGCCCTCTGAGGGGACAGCCCCGAGAGAGGGGACAGGCCCGAGGGCGATGCCACCGCCTGAGGGGACAACCCTGTGAAAAACGCCAATCTCTGGTTTTTAAAATATTAAAAGTTGAACAGGAATGAAATGGTTCTAAAGCCAGCAATGTAATTAGAGGAATGCAGATTTGGACAACTGGGATTTAGGACTATAGGAGAGAATAAAAACAAACGGACAGTATGGGTCCCTCTGTCCCAGCTCCATGGGGACATCCCGGAGTGACCATTCACCTCTGGCCACCGCGGGTAGGGAGGGGACAGGGGATAGGGACATGTCAACGCTGCCCTGAGCCGCAGCCATTCCACAAATCCTCATTTTTTAACCCATTTCCAATAAGCCCTGGCCAAACCTGCCTCACTCTCGCTGCAGGGGACATGGAGCTCCGTGCTGGGGACAGATGGGGACCTCAGCATCCCAGCGGTCACCGAGGCCACCCCAGCTTGTCCCCGCGGCTAGGGCAGAGCCCTGGCCCGTGTCCAGCACAAACAAAAACCTATTCTGGGCCTTGACCTGCCACAAACCTCGGCCCACGCGCGACAATTACGGTGTCGCCAGCAGTGTCACTACCACATCCCGGCACGGCCACGGCCGGAGCGGGTCCTCCCGTCCCCGTCTGTCCCCTCCTGTCTCCTCTGTGCCCTCCTG